GATCTGCCTGTTCTGCTCCCCACTCTGTCTCTGGTGAAGCCCCTCCCCGCCCCTGAGCCTCTGGCTTGTACCCCAGTTCTGTATGAATAAATAAATAAATCTTTAAAAAAAATGCATATTAGTTGGCTCGAAGGCAGGGCAGTTGGCAGACAGCTCAGCACGATCCCAGAGAACTGAAGAGGACTTTTCAGAAATCATTCAAGAAAGTTTGATGGTTGATTAAGTTTCCTTTAGAAGGGAATCATACATTTAAAAATTTAGTTTGTAATTACACCACTAATACAAAACTGCATTCTTCTGATGAAACACCCACTCATAAGTAAGAACAAGTTCTTTGTTCAAAAACTAAAAGTTCCTATTTCTAACTAACCCTCTTCCCCAGAAGCAAATTCTTTTAAATGTTTCAGATGTATCCTTCCACTTTGTTTTCTATGCACTTGCATGCACCTGTAAAGATAATATTTAGATGAAAGCCATTTGTAATTCAAACCCAATTATTGGAATGCATTTTTGAACATTGGTCCATCTGGAAGGAACCCTCAAACTGAAACTTAAAAAAAAATAAACTTTAAAATAAAGCTAATGTTAAGAGGAAAGTTACATACACTTTTAAAACATATAAATCTTGGTTGATTCTTAAAGAACTAATGATCAGATTTCTGTTCATGAAAATCAAATAAGCAAAGCCAAAAAGCTATCAACTAGTAATGATTACTCAGCATTGCATGTGCCATCCCCTTAATGTGTGGGATGATGAGTGGGCCCTGGGCCTCCCCAGTGGTGCAAGGGATTAAGTTTCAGCACTATGAAGCTAGTGACAGCCACTGCAACACAAGTTTGACCCCTAGCCAGGGAGATGACCCACATGGCATGGCAGACCTCTCCTGTCTTGCCAGCTGCTCTTCTCAGCAGTGTATTTCAGTCAATCTGCCTGTTCTGCTCCCCACTCTATCTGTGCCCCCACACACCTCTGGCCTACACCCTAGTTCTTGTATGCATAAATCAGTAAATCTTAAAAAAAAAAAAAAAAAGAGTGGACTCTAAAGTCAGACTGGGGTTTAAATCAGAAGTGTGTATGTGGTTGTTTATACATACATACGTAAAGAGAATGCTTATAGTGCATATCTCACAGAAAAAAAGGTAACAAGTATATATAAAGCACTTAAAACATCTGGCATCTAGTAACTATTCAAATAGTTTCTTCTTAGTAAGTTACCTGGGTAAAGTGGTAAGTACTTGAGGATCTTCAAGAAGATGCCACTGCCTGGGGAGGCATGGATTGACTAATCCTATGCTTTTTTCTTTATCTTTTTTTTTAGTTCAAAATTCAGCAGTAAAATTAAATATGTCAGTAGCTTATCTGAGCTCAGTGGCTTGATCCCAATGGATTGCATCCATATTCCAGAGAGCATCATCAAGTAAGTCCTGATTTGAAAATTTGGTAAGAAATATTGTATGTGGAGAGGAGATTGGAAAAGAACTCATTTCTGAAACAAAGGAATAGGGGAAATAGAATTATCTTATAACAAACATTAAATATCTTCCTATAAACTTCTTTTTTCTTACAACTTAGAGACAACTGTCCCATTCTTTCAGATCTTCTTTCACATCAACTTCTCTTAGGGTTATTGATTGTTGCTCATTTTCAGAGTGCAGCAAGCATAAGTTTAACATTCAAAGTACTTCCATTACTGGTCTTCCACTCCACGCAGACACTAAAGTCTGTACAGAGGGAGGGGTTTTATTGTCTTATATGAAGTAATATATCGTATGAACCCAGGAAAAGAGAAAAAATGACCCAGAGGAAATCTTTTTTTCTTCATAATTCACGTCTACAGTAGCAACAGCCTGTAAGGGGAAAGCATAGATACCGAAGGTCTCAGGAACTGCTTAAACATAAATCACAATTAACTAAACAACCACTTGGAGCTGAGACTTTGAAACATGGATACTGAGGAATGAACCCTCCTATTTAGTTCATTGTTGTGAAGAACCGTTTTTCATGTGAATCTTGGTTTTGTTGTTTTCTTAATTGATTAAAATTGAGAGGAATGTTCCTATCAACTCAAAAAAAAAAAAAAAGCAGACAAGCATACCTCATCTTCCTCCATAAGATACTAGTTAAATAAACTGCTTTCAATTTGGACTTCTAAAAAATATCCCCTGGAAGGGGATGGGGGGACACAAAGAAGCTGGAAAGAGAAAATTCATTTAGTGTGTGTTTATGCTGTGCTGGGCATAGAAGTATGCTATATTATACAATCCCCAGAGTAAATCCCCGTTTTACAGATAAAGGAATAGGACTTAGTAAAGAAATGTAACTTACAAAGTAAGGAAAGGTAAGTTAGGAACCAGGAAAGGATGCCACTAGAATATAAATGCAGGTTAGCCAGGCACTGAATCCCCATGTCCTTCAGTAGTAGATTCCTTTATCTCCCTTCAAGTGTCTATCTCAAATCAAAACTCAGGAGTACATGCATTTGATTTCCCCACATCCCAGATCAGGCATGAACACAGGACACTAATGGGGCTTACACTGGCCAGTTGGCTCAACTGAATAAAGCAGCTTGTTCATGAGATCCTAACAATCCCTTCAATCCTCACCAGCCTTAAAGCATCCCCATAAACAACAAACCCACACTCATGCCTACTCCATGGAAATCAAAAATACACACTCTCTTTCCCATATCCATTCCTGATCTTTAAAGGAAAAAAACTGGGGCACCTACCTCCATAATGCTGTAGCCTTTTATAAGAACATCTCCAGATGTAAATAAGCACTGGGCACACTCTCACGCTTCCACTGGTTGGCAGTTGGAGGCAATATGAAGAAAAGAGAATGGGATGGGATTTCTAGGCTCAGTATTGTATTTAACCTTCCACCTGCTTCTGAGAATTCAGAATTCCACCTGCTTCTTTCACTGTCTCTGAGAATACAAGCAACCTATTAAAACTCTGAGTCACAGCTTCAGTGTCTATAAGATGGGGGAGGAAAGCATGTTTGGTTGGAATAGTTCTTAGAGTGAATAAGAACATGGTACATAAAGCATTTAAGGAAGCTCCCTGGCCCAGAACTGCCAGTCCAGCATGTTGTATATCATAATCGTGTTGCTTTTGGAGACTTACTATCTTATGGGGACATGTAATTGAATAGGAGAATAAACATGCCCATGGACCTTTCATTCATCTATACCCCTGAGTTCTCAAGGGCTCCAGTGTGAGAAAAATAACTTCTGGAAGAATGGTTCCATTTGGAAAGATTTTCCTCTGGAGGAAGAAAAGTACAACCTGCCGCCCTCCCCATGCTCCCATGTTTTCTCCTGTCTTATGTAATCCATCTCTTTTGGACACCCTCCGCCATTTCTGCTACTGGTCCTCATTCCTTGTTTTTATGTTGTGCCATATTTGAAGTAAAACAAGTTATAGTTCATTCCTAATGCAGAAAACATTCAAATGAACTAATCACAACCAATCCCAAAACCAGTCAGTACTCAGCTGGAAAGGAACCAATCATCAATCAGGCTTAAGTGAAGAAGAAAAAAAAAAAGTTGCTCAATCTTTGTAATCAACAGTCATTGATTACAGTCAATTTTTGTCACTTGCTGAGATAATTTTCTGTAACACTGAACAGCATGTACTAAACCATTGTTCTAGCAGGGGTGTTATGGAGCTAAATATCCATGAGCCTCCTGCCACATTTTCGTGGGCCAGTTAATGTTTAACCTTTTATTATGTGTGTTTCTGCTTAAAGACACCTTGTTTTGCACAAAGTTAATTCACTAACATTGCTCTCACAGACAACAGTAATATAACCTACACCTAAACAAAGTTTAGGTAACACATATATTCTCTTAGGAGTACAGATAGCCTCTTTGTGCTTTAGACTCCATTTGGAGGCCATATTAAACAGTGGAATCACCCCAAAAAGCACAAATGATAAAACATGGAACTAAACAGACTACAGCAAGGACACTTGTAGACAATACGGAACTGAACTGAGAGGGCAGAACCTCACCTTGTTCTACCTCAGCTGAGGACACACATGTCAGGTGAATTAAATTTTTTGCCACTCTTTGAATATCTACAAGGGGCAATTAAAAATGCTGTGGGCATTATTTTGAGGGTCATCATCAAAGTTTAACAAGTGGAAGAAGTTGCAAATATGAAATCCACAAATAATGAAGATCGGCTGTACATCATTACAAACTCAAGATAATTGATTTTACCCCATGAAAATAAGATTTCTTCCCACTATTATTATTTTGGTTTCTCTCGTTTTGATTGTTCTTTAAAACATTGTTCTTTACTTGTCGTTTCTCCCATCTGCTTGTTTTCTCACTACATTCGCTTTTTATCTCATAAGGTACGATGAAGAGAGATCTTTTAAGAAAAGTGTGAGGTAAAATGTCCCCATCTGCACTCCATGCTGGGCCCTTTGTATGTGTGCGCCAGTTTTACTCGTGGGTGACCTCAACACGCTACCAGAACAAGAGGTCGTTGTTTCTGTTCCTTGTAGTATACCATTCCAGGTCTTTGTCTTTTGTGTAAAGCTGTTGAGGTCAACCTACAACAACTTGCAACTGAAACCCACTAGATACATCCCTGACTTGGCCCAGGCTGCAAGCTAACTTTAGCTGTGCACATCAGTACCATGTGGATGTCTCAGCTTTACTAAGCCAGCATGTTCTGACCTTGCAACTTTTAGATCTACCTTTATAACGGAATTTGCAAAGTAAATATACATACAGGCTGAATGAGAGGAAATGGCATCATGTTTAATTGAAGGAGTGAGTCTCGGTGCGCCAGAAGATTTTTTTTTTAAAAGCATATATACTTCACTTACGTTTGGCTCTGCTTTGCTGAATGACTCTCTTATGCTCTGCTTGCTTCCTCTTTGTTTCTTTTCTGCACCGATAATTTTTGCTCATGCAGACTGGATGAAGAACTGAGGGAGGCATCAGAAGCAGCTAAGTAAGACTTGGTTTTCACTCAGCAGCTGGTGTGATGTTGGCTTGCATTACAGGAATGAAAAACCTGCATGCCTGGTGTTTTATTATGCCTGATAATCATCATTTACTGTACTTATAAAATTACCTTTGTTCAAGATAGATGCAATTTCTTTTACCCATACTATGATCTGTTTTACCCCAGACCTTGGCAACCTTGAGGAATGTACTTGCTAATACCGTTTGACTTTTTTGGTAATGTACATGCAGTTTTAGCAAAACAACACCTCACAGGCACTGCCACAATGTCTAGAAAATTGTTAGATCTATTGAGATAACAAACTTCAATATTTTCCTCAGGACTTTCCAAAATTTTTAAAAAATACTTTATTTAGTGACATGGAAGTCTTGCTTTTAGCTTCTGAGCTACTTGGAAAAATAAAGAAAAAAATCACTGCTCACTAGTGTCAAAGTATGATTTTCAAAAAGGCAAAATATTCAATGTATATATAAAATGAACACATGTCAATGATTTTTTTCTACTAGTTATTTAATGGGAAAACCAGTAAGTTGTAGAAATCAGTTCAGAGAGAATTTGAGAGGCTAGATATCTCTGAGTAACATGTAAAGAAATTTTAAGAGAAGATAGTTTAGGTACAAAACTGAGTAATGTCCAACAGGATCACAAAATATAACCTTAACATTATCTTTTCTACTGGACAAAAATTATTTGCATCTCTGCTTGACAGAAATCTAGAAGATAACCCCTGCCCCTACATAGTCATAAATTATCTCATCAATAGAAAGTCAATTTACCACTGTTTTTGAAAGACCAACTAGTAGTTCCCTATATATTAAAGGTAAATAAGTTCTGTTTGGAATATTTTCTGTATTGTACTTCTCCATTTCAAATACTGCTTATACTGTTAATTTTTATAACCTTTCCCATTTAAATAGATATTGCAAAAGGAGAAAGCTTTTGGATAATATCCAAATAGCTACACATTCTGAAAATTAAGGCCTAAATTAATGAAATTTTTCCTATTATAAATGCCAATTCTTCAACAAAGCAATTCATTAAGAGATTTTTTTTCTCATGATAAAAAATCAAGGTAATCTGTAGAAATACTTGCCTCTGCTGTCAGCCTTTAAAGTTAAAAGTTTGAGAAAAGGTTTTTGCTTTAGAAAGTTTAGCATTAGTGTAGTTTATTATTAAATAAACCTGTCTTCTACTTTCCTTTAAGGATAATTTTTACTCTGAAGAGTCTTCTTAGTCTCTAGCTGTTACAAATAAGAAGTTTCCCCACAGAGAGAAACTTCAGTGAGTTTCTCTTTCAAATTAATTTTTGATGATAAAGTAATTATGGGATTAAAGAGCGTGTTTTTCAAACAACGTATGGGTAGGGGTCACCTTGCTAATTTACAACCAAACCTATTATAAAGCTATATTTGTTATATTTTTGAAATCTTGCCTCTTTCAATAGATTTTCTTCCTTCCATGTTTTTAACTCTTCCTCTTTAGCTACCATTTTTAGTTTAGTTGTTTAGCTTTTTCTTTGTTCTCTTCTCAGGTCCTTCCTTTTGCTCACTTCCCAACAGCGACAGATCTTCTCCCAGGCATGTAATAGTCTCAGAGCTGAGACAGCTTGATCTCCTTTCTAAGGAAAGTCCTAAAATCATGCCTAGTACACAGTAGATATTCAGGAAATTTCTGTTGCATAAATTGACCATTGCTGTGGAGTAGTGATTCTCAAATTTATTGTGCATCAGAATCACCTAGATTATTCATTAAAACACAGAACCCTGGGCCTCGCCCCCAGAGTTTCTGGTCCAGCAGGCCTGGAATGGAACCTGAGGCTCTGCGTTCTCTAACAAGTTCCATGGGAGTTTGAGGCTTAGGTTGTTTGTCTTGGAAACACACTTTGAGAATTGCCATCTTTAAGCAAAGGGCTCAACAAAAATAATTAGATTATCTCTGAGGCTTGGATACTCTTGGATGTTCTTGCTTTGGATTTAGTCACCTATATGAATTCTCTTCCACTTGATCCTATTTCTCTTGAGGGTGACAATATATGTGTAAGAAAAAAAAATTTATTCTCTTGACCCTGCAGATGATTAGAATACTTCTAAATCCCACCTTCTGGCATACTGTCTACATCCCCATTGACTTTCAGCCTCTGAGTGGTCCCAAAATCCTTGGACAGACTCCATATGATGCTTTTTGGTTCAGAAAACATGATCATTGTAAATCTATGATTAGCATCTAGAAGCCAGATATCCTGGTTCTTTCTGCTAAAAGCTCTAATATCCATATGACCTTTGTAGAAAACTATGGACTGTCCTAACCAAAGGCAGACACATACCTTGTTAGACTTTTATTTTACTTTATTCCCACTAATGTTTTTAAACACTTCCCCTCTACACATGTGCGTGACCCTCTAACTTTCAGAAGATGATTTCTTCAGCCTGCCTTATTTTTTCCTTAAAATTTTCTGTGGGAAAGAAAATACTTTCGAAGGATAAATTATGAAGCTTCATTCTTATTTTGAAAATGGTGACAAGTCCTTCTGCTGTCTTTAGACCAACAGTACTAAATAGTTTGCAAATTGCTGTTTTCTTTGGAAGGATTACGCAAAGTTAAAAAGCAGAAAAGCTAGGTTTGGATGATTGCCCTTTCTTGCTTCCATTCCAGCTCTGCTAGGTTTTCCTAACACACTGTTAGTCAACACTTGCCCGACTATCCTCGCTTATAGGAGTTGCCAAATATCCTCTATAAAAGTACCAGACCACCAGTGAGATGGGGAAGAGAGAGAAACAGGGAACTGCGTTCTGCCCTTCTTTTGGAGAAAGCCTTCTCTGGTGGTCAGCAAAAGGAAAAGGTTAATAACTGAACCTCTCCTTTGCAAATAGATAAATTAGTTTGTGAAACTATTCACATTACAAAAGGGACTCTCATTTTTAAAAAGTCTCATAGAATTCCTTTGAGTAAGGTTTGTTTGCCAGTCACAAAATATTAACCAGATTGATATATGGAAGCATTAATCAGAAATTTATATAAAGCAAATTTGAAATTTGTAAACAGAGGGATTCCATAAATATGGGCTAACAAAAGCACAAATAATACATATCACCCATAAACACAGCATATACACCATAACAAAACCTCCTTATTTTAAAATAAAATAATGACATTTTTCTTTCCGTTTAGGCTACACTAGGATTCATTTGTATTACCTGAAAACAACTCAGCTGTGTAGTAGTAAGGGTCCTTTTATTTTTCTCTAACAGCAACAATAAGAGTCAGGCTGACACTGCCATTTTCCCTTTTAGAGCTTAGGAAAAACCTCACTTTTTTTGACAACTGAAAGTCCATTGTGTTCATATGTAAATAAAATTTAGGCTGCTGTCTAGGGATTGTCCTTTGTGTATAAAATATTCTATTGTTTGGGTTACAAATAAAACTATACTATTATGTTCCCTGAATAACATAGACTGAAAAGCCAGGGTGGGGAATGACAAGGACCAAAGAAGACTACTGAAGCTAGAAATCTTCTTTTTCTAAATCATGGGCAGTTACTATAATTCAAAACTGAGGAGAAGACTCGAGACTACATGCCATCATGTGTTCAGGTGCAGATTTGCTCAGTATTAGCAATGGGACTTTAAACAATTAAACTCTTTTAAATGCCCAGATCTGTTGTATTTACAAAGTGGTACAGTGGAGAAAATGTTTACTGTTTCCTGTTTTGTTTTTTTCTTTGCACTCAGAACTAGCTGCCTTTACAATGATCCAGAAATGTCTTCTATGGAGAAGGAGTAAGAATTTGCTCTCAATAACAGCTATATGGTTACTTATAGTATTGCATGGCTGGCCTCTCAAAGAAAAACCTACACTGATGAGTGGGTAAACCCAGTTCAGATGTTCAGCTTGCCAGTGCTCTGCTCTTGAAATCAGTACCGGTTTAACCCCATCTCTTTCCTGATTGCCATTAAATTCCTTGAGGACAATCTAAGTCTTTACTCTGCATTCCATTTTTCTAATTCAAAAATGAAAATGAGTGTGAGAGCCAGGTATAAGACCACTTGGGCAGAGGAATGCAACTCTGCTTTCTGAATTACATCATCTATTTTAATTAGTGAAAGATGTGACTTCCATTTGAACTTATATTGGTGGATGAGAGAAGAAATGTCTTTGGTTTGAAAATTCAGGAGGCTTTTGAGTAGATGGGATGTTTGGAGTGATCTAGTCTAATCAAACAGGTATTGAATGGGTACCACGTGCCAGATTCTATGTCAACAATTTTACTCACACTGATTTTTCCACCTGGAATAAGCCTGAGATACATTTAACAGATAAAAAAAAAAAAAAAAAAGAACAGCATAGAGAGATCAGACTAATGCAACATTTTGCATTTCTTAAAAAAATAAAAGGCCCAAAGCTGGAATTTGTACTTTTGTGGTGCAGTTCCAGAGTGTGTGGTTTGAAAATCACAGGTGGTAACAGTGCTAAAATGGGCATGTAAATTTTGATAACAAAGACTAAAAAGGATCAAATGAGTCACACAGTTAACTACAAGGATAAATCCATTTCAGGGAGTAAACTGTGGTCACTGCCTTACTCACAGAGAGAACTGCCGTCCCATTAGTGAGTCCTCATTTGATTTAAATGGTGGCTAATTTAGCAGTGTCCTTCCCAGGGATGCAGTAGAGTGGCAGTGATAAGATTAAATGCATCTATTATTGTCACATGTAGTACTCTTTGGGTCTCTTTCCCTTGAGGTCCAAAGGGTAGTTGGAAAATTACAGTGTAATATCTCCTCGTTGCCATACCGACCTTACAGTTTAAAGAAGTTTATGCACAAAAACTCCAGAGAGGGGAAAAAAAACCACCAAAGGTTACTTAAGAGAGCTTTTGAAATCATGCAGCTATTTTTCTGAAAGCTGCATTTTTCCACCTCTCCAAGATGGTGGCATTTGATTCAAGCAAATTTTCACAAGAAAATTTTGCAAAGCCTAAATGTCTTAGTCCTTAGCCTGTCATATTCTTTTAGCAAATCTTTCCTCATCGACAAAACAGCGCCCCCTGGAGCAGAGTCCTGCATTGGAGGAGCTGTGCGAACAGAATGATCTATGGCTGCTACATCTGCGGGCTTACCGACTCGTTTCTGCATTTTGCTTTGTAGATAGAGGGCTGTTTGGGCTGGGAAGAGGGCAAAGCACAACTTCTCCTTTTATTTCATTCTAGAACTGGGCATGGAGGGATATTGCAAACTGTTAATGTGACTTTCCACTTTTTAGAACATAGTCTTTTTTCTCACTTCCCTTTTCAAGTGTCTCTTTCTTAAGCTCTGAGCAAGCACGTGATCCCAATGTGTAGATGAGGTCCAGCATGCAGGGCAGGGGACCAGTAATTTTTTAGAGTTAGAAAAAGGCACTTTTCTGGCTTGATCTGGCTCCTGTCTACTTCGAGCCATCCATCAGAGGATAGGGAAGAATTCTATGTGGAAGCATTTTAGACCTTCTGTCACTAGGGCCGAGTGAACAAACTGAAAAATGGGCTGACTCTTTCTACCAAGGTCAAGAATAAAGTAAAATCTATGCTGCTGCAATGGCCTCTCAGTTTCCTCTGGGAGGAAAATATCAAGTGGTTTTATTCATCATTAAACAGTATCACCTGATGCTTTGTAAAGAATGTCCTTTAACACACGTCAGAAGCCAAAATGGCCTATGGTGAAGTTATCAGAGGTTGCTATGTCTTAGAAAGTTGGTCCAGAAGAGTAAAACCATTGCTTAAAACTGGATAGTTTTTAGTACTTCTTTTCCAAAAAGCATACTATTTTAAAAAGTGGTTCGAAGTCCTTATGGCCTTCGCTTTTAAGTACGGATTTTATTTACCCATTCATGTTATAAAACGTACAACATGATTTATTATATTTTTGCATACATGAAAAGCATTTGTTATTCAGAAGATGCAGTTCTATTGGGGAAGACTGAAATTAGTAGCATTGCTTGTAACTTCATTAGCTCCACAAGTTGACTGTTGTCTTCCAAATTAACCTTCACTTTGCTTTTATGTACTTACAAACTACTTTTGACTACCACTTGCTTCTTCATAAACTGGGTAGTTTTTAGTCACGTGGCTTTTTGTTTACCAAGATTTGAAGGGATGAATTAAATGCTCAAAGCTTTAAGAAAAAAATATATGTGGTTAAAAAAAAAACAAACCCGCATCACCAATAGAAAATAAATAAATGTGGGCCCTCCCTGGTGGCACAGTGGGTTAAAGCACAGCACTGAGAAGCTTAAGCCACTTCCCGCACGAGTTCAATCCTCGTGTGCCCCGGAGGTGACCACATGGCGTGGCAGACTTCTCCTGACCTGCCCGCTGCTCCCCTCAGCAGTGTACTGCGTCGATCTGCCTGTTCTGCTCCTCACTCTGTCCCTGTGAATCCTCTCACCCTCCGCATCTCTGGCCTGTACCCCAGTTCTGTATGAATAAATAAATAAATCTTTAAAAAAATTAAAAGAAATAAATTTTAAATATCAGGATGAAAAATGAGGTGTTTTGAGATGAGCACCCTGGCATAAGTGTTGTTTCAGATTTTTATCAGGGCACTGGATTGTGAAATAAAGTGACTATGTACTTTTATAGTCCCAAGATAATTCATACAGTCACCCATGTTCACAGTTTCCTGAAATGTGCCCCAAACTTGGGCTTAATAAATATTGTCTTGATCTGTGAAAGAAACTGAGCTAACACCATATATGAAAAAATAAAATTCCAATCATTTGAGAAGCAAAAACAAGATCAAAAAGGCCTTGCTTTGAAAAAGCAAACTAGAAAACTATCTAAGGGTCACCTACTTGGTAAAATTCTGCAGACAAGCACATAAGTCAGGTCCTTGAGGACTTAAGAAAGATTAATATCTACGATGGCTTGGTCTCTCGACAGTCAGCATAGCTGGGTCTGAAAACTTTCAAAGGAAACAAGATTAGTCTAAGTAGAGTAGATTAGAGCTGATTTTTCAAGCTACTACTTCTACCACTTGGTATTTTTATGTTTCTACCATTATAGGGCATTTACTGTAAGTATTCACCAGGGACAATGAAAAAAAGACTTAATCCATATCAAACCATGAGAGAGAGAGATGATAATTCTATTCTACAGATAAAGAAATGGAAATTTAGGAAGGATAGATAACTTGGCCAAGGCCCCAGAACTGTTAAGTAGTGGAATTGCTGAGGCTATTTCAAAGGAAAGATACTTTATAGCTGGGCCGCAGGCAAGGTGGCTTGCTAACTCTTTATTCACAAAGCTACTGCAAGAAACACTGCTCAGCTGCTGGGAATTCTACAAGCAAAGCAGTCACTTTCCCAAAGTACAGATCTTCCTCAGCAAGGAAGATCTAAGTGAGAGTTGCAGTTACTTTCCAAATGACCCTTTCAAACAAAGCATCTTTCTCCAAAAAAGTTTTTTTCATGGCTAAAATGCTTTCTTTGAGTGTTCAAAGGTTGTAGCTCCCTTCTTCTTTGGCACGTGCCAGGAAGCTGTGATATGTTTCCTAATGGGCAGGAGAGAGACACAGTATCCTGAGTACATTTCAAACTTATTCTCTAGATCCTGGGACCCTCTAGATGTTCTTAAAACCAAGGTATTTTACACTCTAAGAATCTATCTCATTAAGGTAGGATAAATTCTCCAGGCAAATCCTTAGACGTTATAAAAAATGCTTTAGGGAGAGCCAACAAAACTTTACCATATACTTTCTTAGTATCTAGCACTTGTCCGGTATTACTTATTTTAGGTGAATCATTTATTTTCCACAATGAAAAGTCATTTATTAAAAATGGGTAGATCCCTGATTCCAAAATAATAATCATTCGCTTAAACTACTAAGAGGATGAGCCTTCACTGAAGTTTTTTGAAAGGTGTAAAATGCTTCCAGAAACAATTTTGTAAAAACAAACAGATTTTATATCTTAGAAAAAACCTTGGCAAGTAGGGAAGGATTTTGTTTTACCAGATTAGTCTAAGAAACTTGCATGGTTTATTTTTAGCAATTCTTTTGAGGAAAAAAGCAAAAATATGCCACAATATATTAGTAAATGTTTGTTACTCAGTTTCTCATTTTATTCTTCCTTTGTCTTTTCCAAGTATTGACCTGAAGCTGAAAGAAAAGCCCTAAATGGCCATTGCTGAAGAAGAGGATGCTTTTCTGCTTCATAATTCTGTTGAAACTTATCTACCTGGAAGAGATAGGGCTGATGGTACTTTTTCCACTTTGCACTACCTGGTGCCATTCTAAATTTCTAAGGGAAAAATAATAATGAGGGAATTTGTTTACTCCTAACATGTTTTTTGAAATTGTGTGTATTTTCCTATTTTGCCAATTATGTGCCTCAAAGATTTTAGTTGAACCTTAGCAAAAAAAAAGTAGGGCCTTCCATTTCAATATTTCCATGCCTCTCGCTGCAGTGGCATTTCACCTCTTAGATTGGTATGGACAGATAAGAGAACTTCAATCCACTGCTAGTTATAAGCAGATTTGTTTCCATTGGTTAGCTGGATTTCTCTTTAGTGATCATTTGAGGTTTAAAATACCCAGGGCTCGACTCTCCTTGAGAAGATTATCTCTGCAGAACTCTACCTTTAAAATCCTAGTTTGCTTAACACAGCCATAAACCAGACACATGTTTGAAATCACCATCAGTTAAGTGTCCACTGGCTCTTGTTCACATGAATCACCTCTACTTTTGTAAAAGGCAGTTAGGTGTTATAATTGGCATGTGCTCATCAATTTGGCATCATATTTGTGGTGAATTGGTCTTTTTAAAAAATCATTTCTTCAGTGTATGGTGAAGACTTCCACGTTGAGAAACTTCAGGATTAGTGTCCACATTTTCGGTAACTGTCTGTACTTCAGATCATAAACTCACTTCAAGATGTTACATGGTAAAGCACTGATATATCAGTTTGTTCACCAACTTAGTTCACTGTTGCTGGCATAATTATTAACAATGCTCCTTTTGCTGAGTCATTTTTCCTTCTGGAAGATGTTCCCCCTGTCCACAGGAATGAATGAAGAACCCAGTGTTTGGTTTAGTGGAGTAAACCTGAGGACAGAGCTGTTGATCGAGGGCTCTTGTTACAGTGACAGGCCAGCCATTCACCCTTTCTCTGAATCTGTCCAGTCTGTCCATGGGAGAGTACTCAGGACTCTTTGAAGCTTTACCTTCCAACATAGAAAGTAGAAGTATCTGTCCCAATTATTGATTTTGTTTGGGCTGCTCTGTGGGCTGTGTAACCATTCTGATAGCTAGAATCTGCTACTTTATTATCTTAAAAAGATAATTTAATTGCACGTGTTAGAGAAAAGCCACCATGTAAATTCACTCCAAGTAAATAGAATCCTAGAAAAACCGACCCAAAAATTCCCTAAGCAGATAGATAGACAGATGTAAACACATCATTAGCTATCTAGCCTTTCCATTCTCAGCATTCTTGCTTGGGTTCTGACTTCTGGACTGCGCTTTTCCTGTGGATTGGTAGCTAAGGGAACTAAAGGAGTCGTTGGGGCAAAAGTATTGTTTTGCCAAAGTGGCGATTGCCCTTCACTAGTTGCTTGATTAAAAGAAGGGAAAAAATATATGTACAGAAAATATTGTCAAGGAGTGAGAAGATGTGCTACAGGGCAATAGCTAAATGCAGGAAACCCTGAAGTTCCTGTGGAAGCTGTACACTGTTTTTAGGGGTTATCTTCTAAACGTAGAAGTCACGACGCCAAGTCTTTGTGTTATCTTAAGTATTTAGTTACGGAACTATGGTCCCGACTCTCATCTAATCACAATGCCTCAGTAGCTTGCTCCCTTAGAAATGTTTAGATGTGCACAAAATAAACTTTTATATAGAGTTTTTTCTACCATGTATTGGACTGCTCTGAATAAAGTATCTGTTAGACTTTGTTTTGGTAAATAAATAAATTCTTGCTAGTGTGGACTAATATAAAAATATGTGATGAGACAGTACACACACACACACATATATATATATATATCTCCTCTCTGTATAATTCAGAAATAAAACTTGATTCCACAAGTTTGACTTTCTTTCTTTGAATCAGCAGGACTCTTTATCTTCTCTTATCTGGATATCAGTTTGGGTGGGGACTTGGTCCTTGAGGACAATATAAATTTCAGCTTCTTGCCATCAAACTTAATTCCCTTTGCATTTTTGCCTTTCATGCCTCAGTGTCGCCAACTCTGCTTTTTAGCTCTAAGTAAGCACTTTCTCACTTCGGAAGTGTCTTTGTGTTTCATGGTTACTTGATTTTGTCAACTTTCTCTTTTTTTCTTGTTTTTCATGGTAATTTTTTAATTAAAATGCATTAAATGGCATTTTAGGTTTATCTTTTACTTTTTTTTTTCACTCATACTGTCTTCAGGCAACATCATGTTTCTGTGTGTATGTTTAAAACTAATAAACAAATATGTACCTCTACCTCTCAGAAAATTGTGTAGCCAGGTGAAAAGTTTCTGTATAAAATTAGTTATTTCATAATCTCAGCATCTGGGAAAGACTTAGAGTAGATATTTCCTCTCTTCCTTATCCCTCCTCCCTTCCCTAAACCTCCCTCCCCCAAAAAAGGGCAGAAGATGACTGAGGAGTAATCACAGGCAAATACAGGCCATGTCTCTATGTGGTGGAACATTCATTCACTCCTGTGCTATGGTAGAGGGAATTGGAGGCACAAAGGGAAGGCATACACACGATGGTGTAGTCTGTGGTTGTTAGGAGCAACAGACTGCACTTTTCCTAGAACAATGCTTAAATCACAGGCTAGAGTAGGAAAAGTAAGGAAGCACACTATTTCTAGCACAACGCCACTTAGTAACTTCTAAATCTGTGCACATATAAAACAGTGCTGCTTATTCTATAAAATCCAGGCATATTTAAGGAGTTAGAGGTGGGGGTAGGAGTGGTGCTATAAATGATGTTGGAAACCAAAATTCAAAAGAAACTTTTGTGGACAGAAAAGTAAATAAAATGAAATACCTTAAATTCACAGCCATAGAAGCCAGACCTTTGCAACACAGGTCACAGAGGACAGAAAAGCCATGTGAAGGCACTTGGGAACTGTTCTCTTCTGCAGCCCTCTGATGTGTAGCCCTTTCCTGTGTTGAAACAGCAGTGTGCTCCAGCTGCCAGAATCCCAGCCCGGGTTCCATCACCCTGTGCAGTCACAGAGCCACCATTAAGCTGGTGCCTTTGACACATCCATCCTCACACAGCTGTAGGTTTTATAGCGCAAGGAGATTGATTTATAAGGCTAATTTTCCTAGAAAGTTCCACTCAATCATACAAAATAACTTTTAATCAGACAAAAGTTTTTCTTGATATATGTCTTTTTACATATGATCATTTGAATGGTAGCTGACTAGCAGACACCAATGGCTCTCTCTTCTCCCATCAGAGAACTGCACCCTTGACCCTCAATCATGCTCCTGTGAAACTCTTTCCCTTTGGATTGGTAAACTGAATGACCCTGTTACTCTCTGTGCTCATGGTGAATAGCTACACAACAAATTAGTCAATTTTCATTATTAAAGTACTTAAGAACTAAAAGTCACTGAGGACTCTGAATGATGAATACTGAATCAGTACCCCTAGAGGAAACACAGGGTTAGTTTCAAGCAATGCATAACCTTGTCTAATATGTTTCTGTTTAAATACACCTTATTTACTATATGTTGATGATTCATTAACATTAAATTCACAGCTAATAACCTGACTATACCTCATGCCTGAATAAAGCTTATCCATTGCAAGTGTTTTCTCCAATAAGCCTCTTTATAGCCAATGTGCACATAGAACACTATACAACAGTTTGACACTATGCTTGGGGGCCATTTTAGACCAAATAAAATGCAAAAAAAAAAAAAATGGCAATAAGTAAGCTGCCAAAGGGATACTGCTGTACAGTGTGAGAGCTGAAACAAGGCAGAACCTTGTCCAACGTCAGGCTGGAAATGTGTGCATGAGGTAGCTCAAATGTTTGCCAGTCTCTGTCCACAAGTGACTGTGAAAGTGATGTGAGCTTGATTGGGAAGTTACAAATAAATTTTAGGGAGTAGGGAAGTGTTCATTTATGAAATCTCAAATGAAGATCCTATATCCCAAAATATAGCACCTTAAAACTACATTTATTATCTCACTTCTATGGACCAAATTCCAGGTACATCCTAACTGGGTATGCCTCTTCAAGGTTTTTCAGAGGATGTGATCACAGTGTTTGCACAGGGTCTCCTACAGACTCCATCAAGGTTAGATTGGGGTAGAATCTGCTTCCAAGCCCGTTCATGTGGTTGTTAGCAGGATTCAGCTTCCTGATGGTTGTTGGGCTGAGACAGCTTCCTTGCTGGTTGTCAGCTGGCAGCTGCTCTCAATTCTTTGCCCATTTGGGCTCTCCAGCATTATAACTTGTTTCACAAAACCAACAAGAAAGAGACTGCTAGCAGAAGTTATAACTTTTTACAACCTAATCACAGAATTGACAGCTGACAGCTCATTGCTTTTTTGATTTTTATTTAGAAGCATGTCACCAGATCCAGATCACATACAGGGAGAAAAGGATAGAATGGGGATAATTGGATGCCATCTTACAAGCTGGTCTACCATACCTCCAACATGTCTCTTTAGGTTATTATTCAGTCTGGTTTTCAATACCAACCTCCAGACCCCCACTATAATTTCTTTACTCAGTCTCTACACTCTATCCAATTTCTGGAGGAAAAAATTAATTCTCTCCCTTCTCTGACCTGATGAAACCTCCATGGTCACTGAAATCACACATTCTGGCCTAAATCCTGCCTTAGTAGTTGGACCAGTCATTTAAGCTTATTGACTCAGTTTATGCATATTTTTTAATCTGGATAAAATTCTCAGCTTACAAGTTCCTATAAGTGTTAAATAGGATTTAAATACTCCACCTAGTGCTTAATACATAGAAGACATTCAGTAAATAGTAGTTCTCTTCCCCGCCCTCTTCTCTTCATCTTCCCACTCACTCGGCCTTTTATGCCAACTTCTGCAAATCCTCACCCACTGTTTCTGTGAACTATGTCAGCATCTCGTTTCCTCTCCTGCCCTATAAGTAGATCAGTTTTCTTTACTCCTCCCCATGCACCCTACAATATTTCCAGTTCATATCTTTTCTTGCCTCTAGTCTTTATATTTTCTTTGAAAATAATCTCAAACATAGATGAACAGAAGAAATTACCTGAAATATTTGAGAGCAAGTTGTCTACACAAAGCCTCATCACTCCCTCCCCATCATGTCAAGTGTATTTCATACAGAAAAGACATTCTCCTCATAACGATCACAACTATCAAAACCAGGAATTTAGCATTAAAAGCTTACTGCCATCTAAACCATAGCTGTCAGTCAAGTTTCACCTTTTGTGTTAATAAATGGCTGTTAGAGCAAAAAGATCCTGTTCAGAATCATACATGCCACTCCTTTTTCACTAGTCTTCTTCAACCTGGAACAATTGTTCAGGTTCTCCATTGTTGACAACAGTCTCTCAGAACTGACTGAAGTTTTTCACCCCATCACCTGGTGATGTTCACTTTGAGTGCTAGATTCAAGTGGCGTCCACCAGGCTTTATGCAGGTGGTGTTCCTGGCATCCAGGAGCTCCATCTTCCCAGCTCCCTGAATTAGTGGCATTGGGTGAGTCCTGTTTGTGGACAGCACCCTCTGGCTCCTGTATTGGGAAGTCCTGGGGCAGGACTGTTAATCTTGTCAGTGGCATTTTGTTTGGGTTTGATCTTGGCCCTGGGCTAGGTGTGCTCAATGGCTAGTGCTGTGGGCCAGCTTTGACATATGGCTGCCCTGAGGTGCTATGGATATGTGCTGTGTGCCTAATGTTCCCCGCTGAGTCGCTGCTTGTGTGGTATCAGCAGCAGTCCACAGTGTCATAGGTGGCAAGCTGCTGGAGACTTTCCTTTCAGTTAGTGTGACTACAGAAAGTTTGCAGAGTAGCTGGACTGCTGGCATGGCAGTTTCCATGATACCCAGGGGACCCAATAACTGGCTGCAGGCTAGGTGCCTTGAGGCAGCATGACTCAAGCCCTTGGGTGCTGCAGGAGACTTGGGTGTGACTGAAGATCTGTGAAGAACCTTGGTGGTGGGGTGGGCAGAGCACACGCAGGGCTGGCAGTGGTTGAGGTCTGGCAGAACCTTCGCTGATGGGAACACAGCAGTTGACGAGATTTGCATGCTAGCTGGCTAGGCTGTGAATTGTCCCCAAGGTGCCTGCTGGCTGTGGAGGCACAGTTTGCCAACAAGCAGGTGGTGACTAGTGAGAGTCAGGCTTATTTGTATGGCAGGGTGCACCCTCTGTATTGTTTTCTCGTAGTCTCCAGCTATTGTGTCCACTTCTGTGACGGTGGAGCTCTCCACAGGGATTTGCCTATATGGTCGTCTCATCTATGGAAGATGGGCAAGATGGCATCCACCTACACTGTCACTAGCAATGTCATGAGAGTTTGCCAAGGTGTCCAGCCCCAGATCATCCCCTAGGTTGGTTTGTCTCCCAGGCTGACATTGTAAGGTCCATACCTGAGATTACTTCTCCTCTGGGTCAGACACTCTTCAGACTAGTGTTTTTATTTTTAGTCCCAGTGCAAGTGAGTTGGCTCTTGGGCCCAATAATGGCTAGTCTTAATCTCGACTTTTCCCTTAGCCTCCTGTGTTCGCTTCCTTCTGGACCTCAATGTGGGGTACAGGGGATTGTGTCCAGTATTCTAGATCACCAGGTTGGGGTGCTGGGTGTTAGGAATAGCCCTCTCAACCCTCCCCAGGGTAGAGTTCTGCACCTTAGAAATTGCTTCCTGATTGTGCTTGTTATCCCCGTGAGGCAGTTTCTTTAGTGAGAGCATCTGTCTTTCCTACCCCTCTGGAT